GTGGGTGGCCAGCACCACTCCCGACCGCCTTTGTCTCCCCAGTGTCGGTGTTTTACACACCGCACCAGGTACTCGTTTGAGGCTGAGTCGTGCCAGGGGAGGCCCCGGACCGGTTCAGAAAGTCGTCACTGATGGTGTTGTTGGCCTTGGGAGGGAAATCGAACTCGGGTCGCCGCTCGCCACTACACTCGCTTACACACTTACACAACACCTACACACTCACACGCTTACACACACACATGCTTACACACTTACACACACGCTTACACACACGCTTACACACTTACACACACGCTTACGTGTGCACGGGTTCGACTCGGGTTTTTTTTTCTGAGTCAGCGAAAACATCGCCCCCCGGCCCCCCCCAATCCCCCAATCCCCCTTGGGCCCCGCTCCCCCTCCCTCCTTCCCTCCGGCTCCACACGAACCCGAAATCTGTTTCACATCCTACGGCTGGCGGGGTGTGGGCAGCGGAGGGCAGGAAAGGGCAGGGCTGGGTCAGGAAGGTAGGGGAGGGGGGTGGCGATAGGGGAGGGGTTGGTTTTGGGGGGCCCGTACCCCCCACAGGTTCAGCGTGACCCCCACCCACCCCACCCGTGATATGGGACCGGCACATCAGAGCTGGCAGAGGGATGTGCGTTGAGAAAAGGGCCAGCGCCCGAAACGTCGTCTATCATGTTACACGTCGTGTCCATTCAAGGTCACATCGCACAGGGGTTATGGGTTAATTAATTCGCTCGCCTATTGCCGCCGCTGCCGCCGCTGCCGCCGCTGCTGCTGCCGCTGTGTGATCTGTCACGGGAAGTGAGGAGTCCGGGGAGCGTTGGCAGAGGGAAGGAAGCGATGGCGGGGAGGGGCAGGCGGCAGCAGCGCGTGACGTGACGCGGTGCAAGAGACGCAGTCACGGGGGGGGGGTCACGGGGGGGGGGGGGGGAGTCACGGGGGGGGGGGCTCTGGACACATCCCGTCAGCGCGACTCCCCGCTCGCGTTTATTTTCATCTCACGAAGAGAATTTCCTTCCCTCGACTCTCCCCTGCCTCTCCGCTCTCCCCCCCCCCCTCTCCCCGCGCTTTCCTCTCTCTCTCCCCGTGCTTTCCTCTCTCTCTCTGTGCCTCTGCTCCCTCATGCTCTTCTCTATTCTCATCTCGCTCTGAGCGCTCTCTTTCCTCTCTCTCCCACTCTTCACCTTCCCGTCTCTGTTTGCTCTCCATCTGTATAACTCCCTCGCTGCTCTCCCTGTATCTCTCTCCCCTCTCCCTCCCTCTGATCTCTCCCCGCTCATTCTCTGCTCTCTCGTCTCTCCCCGCTCTCTCCCCGCTCGCCGTGACATTATAAACCCCGCAATGCGCCAAACCCGTGCAGAGGGTGAGTGAGAGGGTGAGTGAGTGAGAGGGTGAGGGAGATGGTGAGTGAGAGGGTGAGTGTGAGGGTGAGTGAGAGGGTGAGTGGGTGGGTGAGTGGGTGGGTGAGTGAGAGGGTGAGTGAGAGGGTGAGTGAGAGGGTGAGGGAGATGGTGAGTGAGAGGGTGAGTGAGAGGGTGAGTGAGAGGGTGAGTGAGAGGGTGAGTGTGATGGTGAGTGAGAGGGTGAGTGGGTGGGTGAGTGGGTGGGTGAGTGAGAGGGTGAGTGAGAGGGTGAGTGAGAGGGTGAGTGAGAGGGTGAGAGGGTGAGTGAGAAGGTGAGTGAGAACTCCGCAAATCCATGCCTTCACTGGGTACATGAGACGTCTTAGACAACACAGGCAAGAAGCCTCACGCTCAGTCACACTCTCCCACTGACAAATACACAGATCCCCCGTGTAGCCTTCAAAGACTGCTGGGGCAAGTGCTGCTTGTGAGTAGCACCTATGAAGGCCGGCACGGCACACGAGGGGTTGGGTGGCCAGCAGCACGCCCGGCCGCCTTTGTCTCCCTCGTGGCGATGTTTACACATTGCACCAGGTACCCATTTGAGGCCGAGTCTACCCAGGACCGGTTTAGAGAATCGTCACCGGTGTTGGTGAACGGCGACTCGACCACTCACACTCTCGGTCTCACACACAACATCTCCCGTGTTAAACATTAAACACAAGCTCGTGACTCACACGGAGTGAGAAGAGACGGAGTCAGAGAGAGACAGGGAGAGCGAGGGGCTAGGGAGAGAGCGAGGGGGGAGCGAGAGATGGAGGGAGCGAGAGATGGAGAGAGCGAGGGGAGAGCGAGGGGCTATGGAGGGAGAGAGGTGGAGAGCGAGGGAGTGAAGAGTCAAAGTGGGGAGCGGTGGTGCAGTGGTTAGCGTACCCTGCGCTACGAACCCGACCACCCAGATTCGATTCCCGGCCACGGCCTAACACCAGTAACGATTATCTGAATCGGTCTTGGGCCTCCCTCTGGGTCGACTCAGCCTCAAAATGCGTGGTGCGCCGTGCCTACCTCCAAAGGTGGTCACGAATAGCACGTGGCCCAGCAGTTGATCGAACGCTCCACGAAGGATCTGTACATTTGTTCTGCGTTGTCTGTGCGCGCGCGTGTCTATAATTGTATCCGTGTCCCCATCAGAGACAGGCACCCAGACGGACAAAGATCCCCCGCGCTAACCACGACACTACCGCTCCCGACATGCATCACACACACACAGACACACACACACAGAGACCCACACAGACACCCACACAGACCCACACAGACACACACAGACACACACACACACAAACCCACACAGACACACACACAGACCCACACACAGACACACACACACACACACAAACCCACACACACAGATACACACACACACAAACCCACACACACAGATACACACACACACAAACCCACACACACAGATACACACACACACACCTACACAGACCCACACACACACCTACACAGACCCACACACACACACAGATACACACACAGACACACACACACACAAACCCACACACACACACACAAACCCACACACACAGATACACACACACACACCTACACAGACCCACACACACACACACCCACACAGACACACACACACCCACACAGACCCACACACACAGACCCACACACACAGACCCACACACAGATACACACACACCCACACAGACACACACACAGACACACACACAGACACACACACAGACCCACACACAGACACACACACAGACCCACACACAGACACACACACAGACACACACACACACACAGATACACACACAGACACACACACACACACAGACACACACACACACAGACACACACACACACACGTGTACATAGAGATAGAAAGACAAGAATCCCCCCTGTAGCCTTCAGACCGCAAGTGCTGTCAGCGAGTAGCAGCACCTGTGAAGGCCGGCACGACACAGGAGGGGGTGGGTGGCCAGCACCACGCCCAACCGCCTTTGTCTCCCCAGTGACGATGTTTACACACCGCACCAGGGACTCATTTGAGGCTAAGTCGATCTAGGTGAGGTCCTAGCATCGGCTCAGCGATTCGTCACTAGCGGGAATCGAGCTGGGCGAGTCTGATTGACAACTCCCCTCTCACAACAACAACAACAACACACTCACAACTTTTACAACTATATAGTGTAGTGTATAGTAGTGTAGTGTATAGTGTAGTGTATAGTAGTGTAGTGTATAGTAGTGTAGTGTATAGTAGTGTATAGTGTAGTGTATAGTGTAGTGTATAGTGTAGTGTATAGTGTAGTTTACTAGTTCAGCACGCAACCGGTTGCTGTGTGTTAGAGAGTGAACCCCACTACAACATTTACAACTATATAGTGTATAGTGTTGTGTATAGTGTAGAGTATAATGTAGTGTATAGTAGTGTATAGTGTAGTGTATAGTGTAGTGTATAGTGTAGTTTACTAGTTCAGCATGCAACCGGTTGCTGTGTGTTAGAGAGTGAACCCCACTACAACATTTACAACTATATAGTGTAGTGTATAGTGTAGTGTATAGTGTAGTGTAGTGTATAGTGTAGTGTATATTGCAGTGTAGTGTATAGTGCAGTGTATAGTGTAGTGTATAGTGCAGTGTATAGTGCAGTGTATAGTGCAGTGTATAGTGCAGTGTATAGTGTAGTTTACTAGTTCAGCACACAACCGGTTGCTGTGTGTTCGAGAGTGAAACCCACAACAACATTTTATAATTCGAGTACCTGGTGAGGTTTCCGCCGATAATGACAACAACAACCACCACCATCACCACCACCACCACCATCACCACCATCACCATCACCACCATCACCATCCCCACCATCACCACCATCACCACCATCCCCACCATCACCACCACCATCACCACCATCACCACCATCCCCACCATCACCACCACCATCACCACCATCACCACCATCACCACCATCCCCACCACCATCACCACCATCCCCACCATCACCACCATCCCCACCATCACCACCATCACCACCATCACCACCATCCCCACCATCCCCACCATCACCACCACCACCATCACCACCATCCCCACCATCCCCACCATCCCCACCGCTACCAGCAGCCTCACTCACTCACCCCCTCGTCCTCCTCGCCTCTCCCCGCGGCTTCCTCTCTGCGCCCGCCGCTGCTGCCACTGCAGCGGTCGCGGCTGCTGCTGGCGGTATAAGGGAGGGGGGGGGGCTCCTGGGGGGCGGCGCTCACGCCCATACATGGAGACAAGAGCGAGGAGAGGGGGAGGGGAGGAGGGGGGAGGAGGGGGGAGGAGGGGGGAGGAGGGGGGAGGAGGGGGGAGGGGGGGTAACCCTCACCTCGTGGAGGCGATGGTGGGGGCTGCACACAGCCACAGATCCCCAGTGTCGCCCCTAATATGCTGTTGGGGCAAGTCTTTATTTATTTATTTCACAGTCCGCTTGTTTACCCACAGAAAGACTCCCCGAGTCTCGAGACTCTGTTTCCAGGAGGGTCCTGCCAAAGTTATTTTTGACGCAGTCGGGATGGCGATGCTGCCGCTGCTGCTGCTGCGTGTGATCCCACGAGATCGGCGGATCGGCGTGCCGGGTAGACTTGCCGGTGGCGTGTGGGCGTGCGTGGCTTCAGCGGAGAGCCAGGAGCGAGCCCGGGCAGTGCAGGGGCAGGGCAGGCAGACTCAGCCAGACGAAGATCTCCCCGAGTCGCCTGTCGCAGGCTGTTTGGGCGAGCGCTGCGAGCGAGTCGGGACACACGAGGGAGGAGGGTTGGCCAGCATCACGCTCGGCTGCCTTTGTATCCCGCAGTGCTGATATTTACAGAATCGGGTACTCATTTAAGAAGCCGAGACACACACAGACACACACCCTGAGACATACACAGACGCACACTCTGAGACACACACTGACACACCCTGAGACACACACAGACACACACCCTGAGACACACACAGACACACACCCTGAGACACACACAGACACACCTTGAGACACACACAGACACACCCTGAGACACACACAGACACACACCCTGAGACATACACAGACGCACACTCTGAGACACACACTGACACACCCTGAGACACACACAGACACACACCCTGAGACACACAGACACACACCCTGAGACACACACAGACGCACACAGACACACCCTGAGACACACACAGGCACACCCTGAGACACACACAGACACACACCCTGAGACACACACAGACACACACCCTGAGACGCACACAGACGCACACCCTGAGACACACACAGACACACCCTGAGACACACACAGACACACACCCTGAGACAAACACAGACACACACCCTGAGACGCACACAGACACACACCCTGAGACACACACAGACACACCCTGAGACACAAACAGACACACACCCTGAGACACACAGACGCACACACTGAGACACACAGACACACACCCTGAGACACACACAGACGCACACCCTGAGACACACACAGACACACCCTGAGACACACACAGACACACCCTGAGACACACACAGACACACACCCTGAGACACACACCCTGAGACACACACAGACGCACACCCTGAGACACACACAGGCACACCCTGAGACACACACAGACACACACCCTGAGACACACACAGACGCACACAGACACACCCTGAGACACACACAGACGCACACAGACACACACCCTGAGACACACACAGACGCACACAGACACACCCTGAGACACACACAGACGCACACAGACACACACCCTGAGACACACACAGACGCACACAGACACACCCTGAGACACACACAGACGCACACAGACGCACACAGACACACACCCTGAGACACACACAGACGCACACAGACGCACACAGACACACACCCTGAGACACACACAGACGCACACAGACACACACCCTGAGACACACACAGACGCACACAGACACACACCCTGAGACACACACAGACGCACACAGACACACCCTGAGACACACACACAGATACACACAGACACACACAGACGCACACAGACGCACTCCGCGCGAGGGCTGTGAACCCGCGTAACGGACCGCTCAGCACTCTTGCCTCTCACCTCGCCTCACTCTACTCCTCCCCCCTCCACCACTCCCCCCGATGCTCTACCGCTCCCTGCCTCCATCTCCCCCGCTCTCCCTCATTCCTCGCTCCCTCACTCACTCCTCCCTCACTAATTCCTCACTCCCCCCTCCCCCTCTCCCTCACTCATTCCCCCCGCTCTCACTCCCCCCTCCCCCTCTCCCTCACTCATTCCTCCCCCTCTCCCTCACTCCCCCCTCTCCCTCACTCATTCCTCCCCCTCTCCCTCACTCCCCCCTCTCCCTCACTCATTCTCCACTCCTCACTCATTCCTCCCTCTCTCCCTCACTCATTCCTCCCCCTCTCCCTCACTCCCCCCTCTCCCTCACTCATTCCTCCCCCTCTCCCTCACTCATTCTTCACTCCTCACTCATTCCTCCCCCTCTCCCTCACTCCCCCCTCTCCCTCACTCATTCCTCCCCCTCTCCCTCACTCCCCCCTCTCCCTCACTCATTCCTCCCCCTCTCCCTCACTCATTCTTCACTCCTCACTCATTCCTCCCCCTCTCCCTCACTCCCCCCTCTCCCTCACTCATTCCTCCCCCTCTCCCTCACTCCCCCCTCTCCCTCACTCATTCCTCCCCCTCTCCCTCACTCATTCTTCACTCCTCACTCATTCCTCCCCCCCTCCCTCACTCCCCCCTCTCCCTCACTCATTCCTCCCCCTCTCCCTCACTCCCCCCTCTCCCTCACTCATTCTTCACTCCTCACTCATTCCTCCCTCTCTCCCTCACTCATTCCTCCCCCTCTCCCTCACTCCCCCCTCTCCCTCACTCATTCCTCCCCCTCTCCCTCACTCCCCCCTCTCCCTCACTCATTCTTCACTCCTCACTCATTCCTCCCTCTCTCCCTCACTCATTCCTCCCCCTCTCCCTCACTCCCCCCTCTCCCTCACTCATTCCTCCCCCTCTCCCTCACTCATTCCTCCCCCTCTCCCTCACTCATTCCTCACTCCCCACTCATTCTCCCCCCTCTCCCTCACTCATTCCTCCCCCTCTCCCTCACTCATTCCTCCCCCTCTCCCTCACTCCCCCCTCTCCCTCACTCATTCCTCACTCCTCACTCATTTTCCCCCCTCTCCCTCACTCATTCTCCCCCTCTCCCTCACTCATTCCTCCCCCCCTCCCTCACTCATTCTTCACTCCTCACTCATTCCTCCCCCTCTCCCTCACTCATTCTTCACTCCTCACTCATTCCTCCCCCTCTCCCTCACTCATTCTTCACTCCTCACTCATTCCTCCCCCTCTCCCTCACTCATTCTTCACTCCTCACTCATTCCTCCCCCTCTCCCTCACTCATTCTTCACTCCTCACTCATTCCTCCCCCTCTCCCTCACTCATTCTTCACTCCTCACTCATTCCTCCCCCTCTCCGTCACTCATTCTCCGCGCTCTCCCATCCATCCCCCTTTCCCCTCCCTCCTTCCATCCCTCCCAACTCAGCCCTGAGCCCATCGGCGGAGTGTGACGTCTGTATTGGAGGGGGGGGGGGGGTTCGCTGCGTCCCTCACGTCAGGAACTGCGGGTGCGTATTAAATAATTAATTATTAATATTGATTGTAAACTACTGAAAATAAATTAATAAATGTGCCCCGTTTGGGCGAGGCGTTGCCCCCCCCCCCCCTCGCAAACTCCGCCCATGCCTGAGCCCGTGGTGTGGGCTGACTCCACATTCCTACGGCAGGGATGGGGCTGGTTGGGCAATGCGTCTCGCTATAGGACAACCCACTGCGTTGATCTTCCCTCAAACAACGCGGGGTTCGCTTTATCGACCATCGGAGGCAGAGATGATTGGCTGAGTCAAACCGCCCCAGCCCAGCCAGGATTTCAACTCGCGACCTGCGCGCGTTGCAAGCCGCCCGCTCTGCCGGCAGGCAGACGGCTGGGAGCAGCCCTGCTTCAAGTCGACTTGGAGCAGCCCTGCTTCAAGTCGACATGGAGCAACCCTGCTTCAAGACGACTTGGAGCAGCCCTGCTTCAAGTCGACTTGGAGCAGCCCTGCTTCAAGACGACTTGGAGCAGCCCTGCTTCAAGACGACTTGGAGCAACCCTGCTTCAAGACGACTTGGAGCAACCCTGCTTCAAGTCGACTTGGAGCAGCCCTGCTTCAAGTCGACTTGGAGCAGCCCTGCTTCAAGACGACTTGGAGCAGCCCTGCTTCAAGTCGACTTGGAGCAGCCCTGCTTCAAGACGACTTGGAGCAGCCCTGCTTCAAGACGACTTGGAGCAGCCCTGCTTCAAGACGACTTGGAGCAACCCTGCTTCAAGTCGACTTGGAGCAGCCCTGCTTCAAGTCGACTTGGAGCAGCCCTGCTTCAAGACGACTTGGAGCAGCCCTGCTTCAAGTCGACTTGGAGCAGCCCTGCTTCAAGACGACTTGGAGCAGCCCTGCTTCAAGTCGACTTGGAGCAGCCCTGCTTCAAGTCGACTTGGAGCAGCCCTGCTTCAAGTCGACTTGGAGCAGCGCTGCTTCAAGACGACTTCGTCTTCTTCTTCTTCTGTTTCACCTGGGGGCGTGAGATGCCCTCTCTGGGGCGAGCGAGACACGGCAGACGGCTTGAAGCAGCGCTGCTTCCTGCCACTGGTGTGGACCAATCAGTGTCAAAGACAATACATATATTATCAGAGTATGTTTTTTGTTTGCATTCTGACCACAAGCATTGTGGTCAATGCAGACACGATTCCTTGTAAAAGGTTTCAGTTTGGTGTTTTAACATCTTAACACAACTGTTTTGTTGCCAGAAAAAAAGGGAGAACCCCTATTATCATATTGTGGTACTGGCAAAGGAGGTCACATGATGCTGCTTCGTCTTCTTATTCTTCACCTGGGGGCGTGTGAGATGCCCTTCCTGGGGGTGTGCGAGACACGGCCAGATTTAGTTTAGAAGGTAAACACAAATCTAGCAAGGGGGCACGTAGGTTACATCTTACTTTGTTTCTCAATCCCGATGTGTGCTCATTATTCACGTCGTACGTTTGTTAACGCTGCAGGAGTAAAGGTGAAGAACCACGAACTTAAACCTCCACTACTCGGCCCGTGTCCGTCACATCGCGTGTGTGGCCTCAGGAGAAATAGGCAACGTTTCGGGAAATGGCCCTTCTTCATGATAACTGGGAGAGAGAGAGAGGGGGGGGCAGTCACGCCTCTCTGCCCCTGAGTGGTAGATCGTGGTCGTGCTGAGCCGAGTGGTGCTGTCGCTGGCTGAGCACCGCCACCGCCCAGCGTAGCAGCAGGGACACGAGCAGGAGGAAGATGGTAAACAGATGCGAATTGTGCATCCTCGTCGATGTGCGTTCATTTTGTTTGTTTCGTAAACGGCAGTCTGGATGGAACACGTGCGCACTGCCTGGGGCTGCTGCTGCTGCTGCTGCTCCGAGTGGCATTCGTGAGCCGCCTTCCCAGCGCCTACGAACACGCCACAATGCCCATTGCCCGAGGACGCGTGGATGTTAGTGTGCAAAGTGTCGTGCGAAATGAGGATGGGAACTCCTCTACACTCTCTCTCTCTCTCTTCGCTGTGTTTAATGGCAGTGATCTGATGAGTCGCTGATGGCACAAATACCCAGGGAAGGGGCTTTTAGTTGTTTTCGTGTGTGTGGCTGATGGTAAGGTCCCATCTCTGAGTGGCGCGCTCCATGTT